ATTCTGGGAGTTGAAGTCCACACATCTTCAAGTGGCCAAGGTTGAGAAACACTGCCTTAGAAGACTAACACCTCAAGCAAGTTGCAGTTTCTCCCAACATCCCAACACCCCATGTTCTTCAGGCACCCAACTTCTGAGGTTTAGGTGAGTGGCCTTAGGGCTACGGGCAGGTACAAAGGAAAGAGTCGGGCTGCCTTGCTCACCCGTAGCATTCTTGCCGTTCGTTCAGCTCTTTCTTGCGATGTTCCAACAGAAGAGGGTTCTCCGCATCGTCAGCAGCTGTTTTGGCTGCAGGAAAGGAGAACCGAAAGGCCGCTGGCGTCAGAGCGCGGAAATCCCCTGCAAAGCGCAGGCCGCTTGGACGTCTGTGGGCCCAGCCTTCCCTAGTGAACTGGGGTGGAATGCTGTGAACTCATTGCATGTTCAGAGGTTATTGTCCCAACCTCTTTCTCAGGCTAAGGCTAAGGCCTGAATCTTTCAACCCCACGCATCTCCGACCTGGCACCCTGCAGTATACTGGATATAGGTTATCCCCAACCACCAAGGGCACTGGGGATGCCAGTTATTGCAATACAGGTAGTCCTCACTTAATGACCACAATAGGGACCATAAAATTGGCTGTTAAGCGGGGTGGTTGTTAAGCGAATCAGATCCAATTTTACGAACTTTTTTGCGGTGGTCGTTAAGCGAATCACTGTGGTTGTTAAACAAACCACACAGTTGTTAAGCGAATCATGTGGTTCCCCATTGATTTTGCTTGCTGGAAGCTGGCTGGGAAGGTTGCAAATGGCAAGGGTGGTTGTTAAGCGAATCAGATCCAATTTTACGAACTTTTTTGCGGTGGTCGTTAAGCGAATCACTGTGGTTGTTAAACAAACCACACAGTTGTTAAGCGAATCATGTGGTTCCCCATTGATTTTGCTTGCTGGAAGCTGGCTGGGAAGGTTGCAAATGGCAATCACATGACCCCGGGACACTGCAACCATCGTTAGTGCAAGATGGTTGCCAAGCACCCAGATTGCGATCACATGACCACGGGGGTGCTGTGACAGTTGTAACTTCAGGCAATGGTTGTAAGTCACTTTTTTTTAGCACTGTTGTAACTTTGAACAGTCACTAAATGAATTGTTGTTAAGTGAGGCTACCTGTACCACACACCTGGGTGGCTTCAGATGGGAAGGGGTCTCCTGGCCCAGCCCTTCTCTGTTGGGATCTCTGTCCTGGGAAGCAGGGAGAGAAGCAAATGACAATGTCGGGGTCCCCAAGCTGGTGCCATCTTCTACTGTATCTTGAAGGACCCTCTCTAGAGCGACAGCCCAGCTGGGTCTGGGGCCAGGGATCTGGGTCACCTGCCTTCTCCCCTCCTTACCAGGTAGGGGGAGAGAAAGAAGAGGCCCTACCTTTGCCTTCCCGCAGGACCAGGGAGCAGTAGCCCTCCAGCCACTGATAGGAGGGGAAATGGTACATCTCCCCGTGTGGTGCCTTCACCCGGACATAGTTGCAGAACCAGTTGTCTTTGGGGAAAAACAGGTAGGGCTCCTTGTGAAGGCGGACCAGCAAGATGGGGCCCAGATCTTGTTCACACGGCACTTCGTACTCGTCCACCTGGACACAGAAGAGAGTCCCAGACAGGTTCAGGCAATGTGGGATAAACAGACTTCTGTCTCTTGGACAAGGCACAAGAGGAGAACAAGGACTGATGGAAATCGATGTGTGTAGGTGTGGGTTTGTGTCTGAGGATCAGTTACCCCTTTTAAGGCATCTGTTGGCTTCTCTTCTGCTCTACTCATACACTTGTCAGTCAAGCAACCATCACAACATCAGTGTGAGCAATCCTCCACGGGGAGGGAAATCTCACAACTTCTGCTGTCTGGCTGGGAATGGAAAGGATTGCATCAATGTCTGATCAAGACCTGATTCTGCATGTTTCCATTTTGCAATTGAGGAGGACTCTTTTGGTCTTGTACAAAGCAGTTAAGATGATTGGATTAAGCCATTTCTCTGTTGATTAGGGAGACCTAATCTGGAACAAATTCCTAA